AAGAAGGCGATTGCGGCGGCGGCGGCGGCACCGAGGGCGGGCGGGAGAACAGCCGCGGCCGCGACCTCAACCGCAGCTTTCCCGACCAGTTCGGGGACGCCGAGCCCAACCTGGAGCCCGTACCCGAGGTGCAGGCGCTCATAGACTGGATGCGCCGCAACAGGTGAGTGCTGCCCGCTCCCCTCCGCCCGGCGCGCCGCTCCGGGGAATGGGAGACCCCAGAATTCACTTCCCGAGGGTGTCAGCCAGCTCCCAGCCCTCCCCGGTGCTTCCCAGCAAGGCCTGGGGGGAAGAAGTGATTTCCACGCGTGTTTATCCTCAGCCTGCCTCCCTGCGTCGGCCTTTCATCGCAGCTGGGACTGTCCTATGCTGGGGAGAGCATTTGCATTTGGTGGCCCCAGTTTTTGTGCAGATGCCAAGGAGCTGCACCAGCCCTGCGGGGCACACCCTGCACACACCCAGATGTTCCGGCCTCCGTGGCCATCTGCATGTGTCCCATCTCCTCCAACTTGCGGCTGGAAACTTCTCACCTGCTTTGCTGTGGGCTTGTCAGTGGGTCTTGCTCATAGGGCCAATAATGCTTACTCCACAAACTGTGGGATGCTGGAAATATTTGGGGTTAAGTGTCCTCTGTACGACCATGTTAATAAAGTTGTGTTGGACAGGGCTTCTTCCCCTCACCTTTGTGTTCCATGGGGAATTCCCTGGATTTAGCAATAATGCCCTATGCAGCAGCATTTGCAAAGGCAAGCCCTGTTTTTACAGCTGCCTTCCCCATGTGTTCAGTTGAAGCACGTGGGGCTGAGCCTCGAGCATCCATGCTGACCCGTTTGTCCCTCCCCATCCTAAGGGGTAGCACAGGAGGAAGCTGCTGTGCCTGGAGTGGGGTAGCCCGGGAGGGGAGATGGTGCTTTTAAAGCCCAGCTCTGGTGTTGGGTTCTGGGGCAATCCTAGAAAAAGCAGTGGCCGAGCTGGGCACTGATTCTTCATTTGTCATGTGTTCTTCAGAGAACTGTGTAAGGTGCAGACTACAAAGGTCAATGCAACCAACCGTGGGAAATCGTGCAGAGAAAGCAGCAGTGCACTGCAGCAAACTGTGGCCTTCTTTCCAAAATAGGGTTAGAAAGACATGAAGAGGGAGTGACAGTGCACCCAACCAACACACAAAACATTCAGCATTGTATAGTGTTTGCTTGTGTTTGGGAAACAAAATTTGTGTGAGCAAATGATCTTTATTAAAACTTGGTGGATGATAGTAACCACAGGGATGGTGCTCCAGAGGAACTGCAGAAACTTCACCAGTGGCTGCTTGTCCTGAGAATCCTTTAGGACAGTTCTGGTACAGCGCTTTGCACTAAAATCCCTCTAGATTTGGTTCAGCTCAAAATTGGTTTATAGGGAAACTCATGTGCATTCTTCATATC